CCCCAAAACCCCAAAACCCCAAAACCCCAAAACCCCAAAACCCCAAAACCCCAAAACCCCGTGTGAAAGAATATATTTGAAACGATCGTCTTTTAAATTAAAATGTTTAAAAAATTTATTTTGTCAATTGCTCTATGCCTTTTGTTGACCTTTAATTGGGTCAACGGAGTCAGCACGGGATCTATCCAATTAAAAAATAATGCGATTAATATGACACTGTCGTTGCCTACTACTACCTCTATGAGATGGACGATAACTACTACAAATGCTCAATGGGTTGCCATTGGCTTTGGATCATCCATGACTAGCTGCGATATGATTACAATCCAAAACGGAGGGAGTTGGACAGTTACAGATAGGTATTCAACAGGACAGTCTATGCCAGCTGCAGACACGACTAACCACGTGACAGGTTTCAGTGTGGCTACTTCTGGAAGCACTAATACTTATACCTTTGACAGATTACTCAACACTGGAGATTCCCAAGATTTCATTGTTGCTGACGGAACCGTAAATATGATCTATGCATATGGAACAGGAGCGTCTTTTAGTCAGCATTCAGCCGGATCTTACGGAGGTTTCACCTTCAATGTAACCTCGGCTACCAGAGATGTCGCCTTTGGATCAGAAGGAGGCGTCTCTGTTGATACAGAGCAAACACTTATCCATGGACTCTTGAATTATATTGCATGGGGCTGGTTCTCTTTCTTCTTGATTGTAACAGGGAGATACTCTAAATACTTCTTTTCATTCAGAATAATGCTGCATCTCTTCATTGGTATCTTAGCTTTGATCTTCACTCTGATTGCTGTGATAGGATACGGAGAAGGTGGAAGAAAGAGACCATCTTTGAACTCAATGGGGGACGAGCATAAAAGTATTGCAAGCGTAGTCAATGCTTGGACTATCATTGTTTGCGTCTTTGGTAGCTCAATGAGAGTCTGATCTATCTTCCTTGGAAGGTTCTGCTTCCTTACGTATTACCTATGGTATGTCCATGTAATTCTTGGGATTCTTCTGATTGTATATTCTCAATTTGCTATTTTATCTGGACTATTTCTGTACGATTCTCCAATAACTTACTTGTTCTATATCCACCTGGGTTTGATCATTATCATGCTCATTATCTGAGAGGTGTTCTGGCAACTGAACAAGCATTGGAAGTATACCAGCATTGACGAGATCGAGCGTAAGGGCTTACCTGAGATGACTATGGAAGAAGTTCAAAACTCCAAAAGAAAATTGGCCATCTTTGATCAATATGTTATTGACTTTGGAATGTATCTATATGACCATCCAGGAGGAAAATATGTCTTGGAAGAATGTAGAGGAAAGGAAATCGGAAAATACTTCTATGGAGCCTACTCTCTTGATGATAATATTAAAGTTCATAAGCATTCATTCGTTGCAGGTAAAATTATGAAAAAGATCGCTATTGCTAAATTAAAACTTCCAATGGATATTGATAACATGGTGACATTTGGAGGAGAAGGAAAAGGAGACGGCAGGGATCACTCTCATGAACTCTATAATGGACATTTTAAAGTCACCAGAAAGGATGAGATCTTCAAAGGAGTCTACAGAGTGACTTTTAGCAATGAGAATAATCATTACAAAATAGTTTTGCCTGGTACAAGTACTTTTGGAAGACACTATCTAATTCATTCTGAGTCTCAAAAAGTATCAAGATACTACACAATATGTAACTCCATGAACTCAGAGATTTACCCTGTCTATATAAACAACATTGATAGATTAATTGGTAATAGCAGAGACGAAAAACTCTCTTTAGATAACGTAGATGGTAAGCAATCTCATTTCAATTTTAGATATCACGGAAAGTCTCCAACTCATCATTAAATTTTACGACGAATCTAGAAGAGGTCTTACTAGGCTGTTGGCTAACGTTCAGGATGAAGATGAGTTCCTAGTCTCTAAACCAATGGGGAAGGGACTTGATCTCAGTGCTGACAGCATCACAGGAACTAATCTTGTATTCCTTGGTGGAACTGGAGTGCTGCCATTTTTGGACTTCTTTGTATTTCTTGCAAGAATGATAATAAGCGAAAAATCTCCATCTGATAAGATCATCAATAATGAAGAGTTTGAACCATTCTTTAAGCACAGTAGTTTCAAAGTGTATGCTTATTACCCAAATGCTAATGAAGCAGTGGCTCTTGATCTCTTAGTAAAGATCTCAGATCTCTTCACTCATTTCAAAGAGGAAGAAAGGTTCAGTTTCACTCCAGTCTTCACTAGACAAGGCGGGGATAGGCTGAACGATCAAAAGATCTACGAGTTTCTCGACCAAGCGAGCCGTGCATCCGACCTGAAGAACGTCTGGGTGTGTGGCCCTCCCAAGATGAACAATATGTTCCAAAGACTTAGAAAGACCATCGAAAGAAAATACGAAGGATCTGCAGTCGACATCATGTAATTATGTGACGTTCTATTTTGAAATTGAAAGTAAATCTGAATTCAAAAGACAAAAATGGGGAAGGGGTTTTGGGGTTTTGGGGTTTTGGGG